CATCTATATCATCTTATATTGGGGCTATAATCCCCAGACACCATCTATATCACCTTATATTGGGGCTATAATCCCCAGACACCATCTATATCACCTTATATTGGGGCTATAATCCCCAGACACCATCTATATCCCCTTATATTGGGGTTATAATCCCCGGACACAATATATATCACCTTATATTGGGGCTATAATCCCCAGACACCATCTATTTCAGCTTATATTGGGGTTATAATGCTCCGAGGCGTTTAGCTTCTGAGGCGGCGGTTCTGATGGTGGTTCTCCTGCAGGGAACCTGCCTGCTCTGGATCCCGGGTTTCGGGCTGCCGGTCTTCGCCGTGCTCTACACCATCGGGAACCTCTGCGCTCTGGCCAGGTACCCGCCAGAACCGGTTCGGTCGGACCTCTTTGTTCGTCGCTGACGTCTGCTAAGGTTCTGCTGTCGTTTCAGCACCATGTTCCTGGTGGGTCCGTTACGGCAGCTGAAGAACATGTGCGCCAAAGTGCGAGCGCTCGCCACCGCCATCATGCTGGTCAGAACCCGTCCTCGGTTCTCCTGTTCTTGGTTCCAGGTTTGCTTTTAAACCTTCTGATGTTTCTGCAGATCTGCCTGGTTCTGACTCTCTGCGCGGCGTTCTGGGTGAGAAACTGACTTCGTGCAAACATGGCGGCTGCGTTTCCGGTGGGTAGAACTTCTGTGCTTCTGTTCCCGCAGTGGAAGAACAACGGATTGGCCCTGCTGTTCTGCGTTCTGCAGTTCCTGGCCTTCACCTGGTAAAACCTGTTCATTATCACACACCTGCCGGCCGGCTCAGCCTCGCCGCTCTGACCTCTGACCTCTGCCCTGCAGGTACGGCCTCTCCTACGTCCCCTTCGCCAGGTAAGAACTGAACCTCAGAACGTCAGGCGGAAGGTCGGACGGGCCGTCATCTCGTCTCCTCTGTCCTCTTCCAGGGACGCCGTCCTCAAGCTCTTCTCGCTCTGCATGTAGAGTCAGCAGCTGCCCGACCAATCAGGACGCAGGATGTTGCGTCCAGTCAGGAAGGTCCAATCGTCACATGACTGCTTTCATTTATTCAGCGGAGGAATCATCCGTTTTTCACATTTAAACTCGGAATAATCCGAGTTTAATCCTGATTTTAACGCATTAATGTCAATGAAACACTGATTTTAATTTATTTCATCATGGCGGCTATTCATCATGGCGGCTTTCCATCGTGGCGGCTCTCCATCATGGCGGCTCTTCATCATGGCGGCTCTCCATCATGGCGGCTCTCCATCATGGCGGCTCTTCATCATGGCGGCTCTCCATCATGGCGGCTCTCCATCATGGCTGCTCTTCCTGGAGTTCTGAGGACTAAAAAATGAAGGAACTCACACTAACAGCCGCTGATCAACAGATTCATCCTGAAACAACATTTTAGTTCCTCTCAGCAGGTGGAGAATCCACTGGTTCTGGTTCTGGTTCTGGTTCAGGTTCTGGTTCTGGTTCTGGTTCTGGTTCCCAGCATGTAAACCCAGAGGAATGTTAGCTTAGCGTTTTCTGCTCCGCGGCTGCAGTTCAAAGATAATAATCCACGTTGAGTCACTGCTGCATCTTGATCTCCATCAAAGGAGGATCTTTAGGCTCATCTGGACCCAAACGGGTCGGATCCAGCAGAACTCTGAACATCTAGACTTTATTTATGGAACGAGCCGGAAACATGAAGCAACAGAAATAAAAATGGAGGATGATAGAAAGTCAGATTTCAGCTCCAGACCTTCTCCATTTAGATCCATTTGGTTCGGTTCTGCTGTGGTTCTGTAGCAGCAGGTCTCAGGTAAACAGTGTTTAACCCGGTTCTGAGCTCTGTTAGAACTTATTCTAAGCTGGTTCCATGTGGTTCTGACCCAGTTCCTAGTTCCGCCTGTGTGTATTTCTCATGCTTAGAACCCAGAGTTAGCGAATGTTAGCTGCTTCTTATCGGATCCGTAGTCTGAAGGGATGTTCTGCTGGTTTTAGTTTAGATCAGTGATCCGTTTAGAACCAGGTCCGGAACCAGCTTCAATCCGGTTCCGATCATTTCATGGAGAATTATGAAAATTTTTAACATTTCCTTCATTTAAAAATGACTGAAAATGTAGAAGAAGGTTTGACCTCTGACCCCTCCCCTGGTCCTGAATTTGAACTCTGACCCCTTCCCTGTTGCTGAATTTGACCTCTGACCCCTTCCATGTTCCTGAGGTATGACCTCTGACCCCTTCCCTGTTGCTAAATTTGACCTCTGAACCCTTCCCTGTTCCTGAGGTATGACCTCTGACCCCTTCCCTGTTCCTGAGGTATGACCTCTGACCCCTTCCCTGTTCCTCAGGTTTGACCTCTGACCCTTTCCCTCTTCCTGAGGTTTGACCTTTGACCCCTTCCCTGTTCCTGAGGTTTAAACTCTGACCCCTTCCTGGCGGTTCTGACTTCCTGGGCTCCCAGGAGGTTCTGACCCGTGGATCCTCCTGCTGTCCTTTAGCTAACCCTCACCCTGCCTTCATTTATTCATGGATCAGCTAGAAGTCCTGCTTCCCATCATGGGTCCAGAACCAGGACTAGAACCAGAACCAGGACCAGTGGCTCTGCTCTGAATGATGGATGCAGAGAAACCTGGAAGGTAGAACCTTCAGGTCCAGGGCGATGGTCTGTGTAGGTTCTGGGTAGGAGCTGGTTTCCAGAACTCTTCCTCACAGGTTCTAGAAGGTTCCCCATGTTACAGTTGCTGATGTTCTGGGCTGTGAACTCAGAACCGGTTCTGATGTTTTTTTAAGCTTTGTTACTGGACTTTGTGGTCCGGATCATTTCTATAGAACCATGTTACTGCAGCGGTTCCCTGCTTGTTTGTGCTTCCTGTTAATAAATGTTTGTGTTCCTGAGCCCAGCTGTGTCAGACGGTTCTGTTTTCTGACTCTGGAACCGGACCCCATCCGGCCCCGCCCGCCTGCTTCCAGCCGTCTTTATGCCCGTTAAGTCCGTAAAGCCGCTAATCTCCGGCGCCGCCTGGGCCGCTGATTACAGCGTGCTCTGACCGGCCTCCTGCGGCCGTCTGCAGATCAGATGTCCTCCCTGAGCGTCTCCAGATGTTCTCCTCTGGGCTTTGACCTATTCTCCATTACATGCTGCTCTAAACAGCTTAGGCTGCGTGACATTTAAACCTGCAGCAGCAGGAGGAGGTCCAGGGGCGCCGGCCGCTTTCGGGAGATTAAAAGGTCAGAACATCTCCACGCCGTCTCCTCCAGAGCCCCTTCTGACGGGGTCAGAGGTCAGAGGAGAAGCTCTGAATCCACAGAGCAACGCCAGAACCATTGAAGGCCTTTTTTGGTCCCTGAGGTTGGCAGACACCTGGAACACCTGGAGGATCAAAGGGATGCTGGTCAGATGTTCTCATGCTTCTGCTGCGGGGGATGTTCTACCTGGGACTCCCTCTGGGCGGTGGGCGGAGCCTAAGCAGCCATGTTGGTGAGAAGGTGGGAAGCTGACACAGGTTGGAGTCAGTTCTCCAGGAGAGAAGCTGAAAATGTTCCTCAGAGATCATCTTCAAGTCGGGCTTAATTCACAATTCCTGACTGACTGATGTCTGTTACTATGGCGACCGACCCAGTG